TCTATGTTAGTACGTGTATCAAAACTAGCAGGACCTGAAGGGGGCTGCTCAAAGCAGGTCTTCAAACTGCTTTTCTTCCCAGTCCAGTCATGGTCAGCAAAGTAGCACTGGAATGAACTCAGACTTGTAAAATGTGGGTGTTATCAGAACAATAACTGTAGTGGAAAAAATTATGGGTCAACATCCTGTGGAAACTTAATCTTCCTCTTAGAGAACAAGGGCTGCATGCACATTGCTCAGTTATCAAAGCTCTTGATCAGCAGTCGGAAACAATAGTGCCCCGCTCAAAGATGGCAGTCAACCGTGCCACTTGAATGCGTCGCTTTCCAAAGAGCTGGAAATAATCCAATCTCTAGCATCAGCCTCCTAAAAGGGTTCACTATGCCTCTCCCAAGTCTCCTATTTCAGGGTGGTGACCTATAATTTATCCTGTCCTGCGTATGGTCCCCGTACACTCACATTTTACAAATTCAGGTTTGTTCTGATTTCACTGCATTAGCCATGACTGAACCGGTTTGAACCACTTCAAAGCCCCGATACAAAGTCAATTCAGAATACCAAAATTTCTAAGTGAGGAGTTAAGTAGACTCTTCTCACTGCAAAATTCTTTGAGAACTGTCTAATAGATGTTCTCTATTTATAGCCAAAATCTATATCTGACACAAAGTCTTTTTATCTCTAAAGACTGCTAAGTGTTTCCAATATAGTTCAGGAATTAAAACTTTGTTTCTAAGAGCTAGGCTTCTCAATATGATGAATGGGGTCTTGGAATTTAAATGTGGCTGTTTCTAATCTTTGTATTCAGAAGACCAATTTTAACACTCACACAACTACTGATCTTATGAGGCCCCCTAGTGACCATAATACATACACTCTACTAAGCTTCTGTAAACACAAGCCCCACCAATGTCACACTAACATGAAAGCATTAAGAAGCCCCTTTAAAAGTATCCTTTTAGGGGAATAAATGAGAACAGATCAAATGTAAATGATTTTATTTTCTGGAGTTCACCTTGAATTACTTTGAGCCAACTTTCAGAACACAAAGGCTTAGAAGAATCTAAGTAATGTTTAGTAATAAACTGATTTTTAAAAATTCTAGTCTGTGATGGTATTACTCCATGTCCCTTTTTAATTTCTTGATCTAGTTAACATGCCAATGAATCACCTATATAACTTTCAAAATAAGTTTTACATGGCAGCACATTCGATTAAGTCTTTTACAAGTAGAGCTTATCTATTACTTGCATTATTAAAAAATAAAACTCATATAAAGTCAACACACATTCTTTTTCTAAATAGTTGATTTATCTCCTGGAATCTCATAGTAGTCTATATCATTATAACAACTGTCATAATAGTCATATTAACTGGTCTGATTTGTAGGCATGAGGATATATTATCACTGACAGCAATATACTTCAGAATCGATTTTGAAATGTTCTTTTTGACAGTTAATACACTGTTTCTCTTCAATTTGTTATTCTTGGAACTGCAGAACATGACTGACTGACAAAATGGCCAATACCAGTCCATTTCAGTTCAAGGCTTAGGATAGCTATCTTCAAGCATTCTGCTTCATTTTGACAACTTCCAGTTTTCCTCCATTCATATTTTAGAGACTCCATGTTTTAATTACAAATGGATGTTTGCAGCTATTTCTTCTCTCATTCTAAGTAGTGCCACTTCAGCAAAGGAAGGTCCTGAAAGGTTTTCTCCATCTACTTCATTCAGGTTCACTCTAGTTTCAGGAGGCAACTCTGCCCCCTTTGGGTTCATCTTCTGGCACTGTATCAGATAATAGTACTTGTAAAAATTTTACTGGCCAAATATTTTAGAATTAGATCACCTGGCAGACCCTCCTTCTTAGTTTGTCTTAGTCTGGAATCTCTGTTGAAACCTGTCCTTCATGAGTGCCCCCACTGCTATTTAAATTGCAGCAACATGTGAGGCACCGTATTACAAAAAACTCACCTCAATAATATAAAGTAGAATCGAGCTAAGGTTTTCTATCACTCTAATAACATTAAAGAACTATCCTTTTCTATGGGTTGTTTTTTTGTTTTTTTTTTTGAGTGGGAGAGATGGTAATATACTTGAAAATCTATCATTTCTGTATGTTCTACCACAACAACAAAAAGCCAAGACCTAAGAGAACAAAGTTTTACATTTAAGCCTTTGGTCATTTACTATCTTACATATTACTTTAAGTAGATACATATTTATCTACTAAATGACCACATATATCAAGTTTTATTATATATTCTTTTTATGCCAGTCATTAAATAACTTAAAACCATTTCATATTAAATAAACCTTTCCTTGATATCTCCCAAAGCAGTAGAAAATCATTGCCATGTGTTGATTAATCAAGTTCAGGAACATATATATGAGAATCTTACTCCTTAAAAATATACTTTAGATTTATTTTGAGTCCTGGTGCAGCACTACAGGATAATGTGCTGGACTGCAAGGTCAGTTTGAACAGCAAGGTCAGCAGTTCTAGCTCACCAGCCGCTCCTCACTTAATGGCACTTAACAACAATAACAATACTATATTTTGATCACGGTGTGTTGCTGTAGGATAAGCACAAGACTGCAAGGTCGGTTTGAACCGGTGGGTCAGCAGAGTCGGTGATTCACACACTCAAGCGGCTCCTCAGAAACCATATACAGGGTCACTATGAGTCAGATCCGTCTTGACGGCACAACATACCATACATGTGTACACAATGTGTGAAAATATGTGAATAGATTTTTGCTTTGGGCTTGCCTTATAAGATATTTTTCCTCTTGTATACTGTGAGCTTCTGTTTACTTTTTAATTCCTTGAAATTTAAATATATATAACCACAGCCAACTTTGAGCGCTAACTCAGTGCTAACTTTACCACTGATAAAAGTCCCAGATGACAAATCTGTATTAAAATAGTTCATTAGTGTCTATAAGTAGTCTGTCACTATGTTCAGGAATATATACCCCAAATTTTTACAGGGATTTTTTTTTTCTTTTTTAAAATTGCTATGAGGCTACTCAGTGCAGTAGATTTCTGCTAAGAATAAAAGCCACTACATTTCCAGTATCACGATGCTGTAGCGTTCTATTGTTAGCCACCATTGAGTCGGCTGGGACACATGACACATGGTAACCCACCTGGGACACAGTAGAACTGTTCCACTGGGTTTTCAAGGCTGACCACTCAGAACTACACCACCAGACCTGTCTTCCAAACTGTTGTTATTGTTGCTAAGTGTCTTTGAATCAGTTCCGACTCACAGCGACCCTGTACAGGGTTTCCAAGGAGAGGCTGGTTAACTTGAACCGCTGACCCTGTGGTTCAAACCAAACTTACAGTCCAACACATTAACCTGCAGTGCCACACAAGGACTCCAACTGGGTGTGGTCAAAGTGCCAACATTTTGGCTAGTAGTTGAGTGTTTAACCATTTGTACCACCCAAGTATTGGGTGTCCTAGTGTGGTGCTGTCGGAAAAGCACTGGATTGCGAACCACAAGGTCGGTGGCTCAACCCCAGCAGCCACTCCTCTGAAACCCTATGTAGGGCTGTTATGAGTCAGCACTGATTTGACGGCACTTAACAACACACAACCAACAGTACCACCATGACCTTGTGTTCAATGACAATAATAAAACAGACATTTCAGAACACTGTAGATTGAAGCCTGTCTGGTTTGACTCCTAGCTGGGGTCAACCTTATTACCTGTGCAAACTTGAGTAACATATGTCACCTCTATTAGCCTCAGTTCTCTCCTTTGAAATTAGACATGAAAATCCTTATCGTGTAGTTATTGTGAAGATTAGAAACAATATATATGAGAACCACACACAGAGCTGTGTCTAACACATGGCACTAACAATTATTATAAGCAGCCTCACTAACAGTACTAAGATAGGTAAAGGCCACCACAGACTCACGGGTTTGCTGCAGCAATAGTGACTTAGAGACTCTCAGGAAGAAAGGCCTGGTGATGTCAAAGTCACAGCAGTCTGATCTGCAAACGGTCACAGGGTGGAGCAGGGTCTGGCAGCTTTCCCTTCTGTAATGCAGAGAGTGGCCAGGAACCGGGGCCCACTTGGAGTCAGCTAACACCAACGGCAGCAACAACATAGCCCCTTTAGACTTCCTTGTGGGCCCAGAATTCCTACCCAAAAGGCAGCTTCTGTCCAAGTGCAGTTGGACACAGTCCAAGGAATGACTTATCTTCACAAAGATAAATATGTCTTCAGCCTCCCAGAAATTATGCATCAAAATAATCATTGATTCTAGTTAGTTTTTGTATATACATGTATAAAGTTTTTTCAACAATTACTTTTGGTCTCACCTATAACTATTGGCTTCTTCTTATCCAAAACAAAAGAGAGTGTAGAAAACCAAAATCTCAGAGAAGAAAGTCTACACAGGCACAGTCTCATCCTCCCTAATACAGAAGACCTAGATGATGCCTGGCTATACCACAGACCATTCTGAGCAGAGTCTCAATAGATGGATCCTGAAAGAAGTGGAGATCAAGGTAGAACAGAACTCAAATCCTTAAAAAGTCCAGACTTACTGGCCTGCTGGACTCTACAAATTCCCTGAGACTATTGGCCTGAGATATATACTCGAAACGTTAACAAACAAAAAGATCCCGGGAGGTCACATTTTAGCTAGATAACTGGTTGGCTCATAAAAGAAGGAATGTCATCAGTGGGTAGTGAGCTCCTTTAAAAAATCATCTGTATGACACCAAAGGGTTAACATTTGATCTAAAGTGGAGATGAGAAGGATAGGACTAGGGAACTGAGAGCACAACCAGCACAGGTTGAATGAGAATGATGACACATGATAAAATGGAACCAATGTCAGGGACTAATTGGTATGAAAACTGTTACATGGGAACCTAATTTGATATACAGACATTCACCTAAAGCACAATAAAATACGATTTTTAAAGAGAGACTCTGAATAACACACTATGTTTATTTTCAAACCAACTTACCAAGACAAGAGTACAAACCCTGACTTATCCAAGCTAAGATGGCAAGAGTTATAAGGTCCCCAAAACTGGCAGCAATGGGCGTGGCAACATTGTCAGGATTTATCCCCGTCTTCTTGGATCCAACAATAACCCCAACCATTATTATTCCTAGGAAAAAGAATAGGCATTACTTCGTATCCTGTAATTTACCAAAAAAGAATCTTGCAAATGCCTAAATATACAGGATAGACAAACAGCATTATCATTTCCAGTGAGACTACTTAGATAAGCTGACTAAAGCAAACAAAATCTCCTAGGATACTTTAGCAAAATACCTTTCAACAAACTCTAACTAGGGATTACAGTTCAATATTACATTCAGAAACATGAAAAGCTATTGCAAAATTACATAAAGCGAAAAGTTCAAATTCAGCAACCTGTATGCCTTAGATTTAATGTACCTGTGTGTATCAAACCCGAGGATTCAGACTTTAATCCTCAAATACAGTATAGAAATAAGAAAGAAAGGTGTAGTGTGTGTGTGTATATACATATGTGTATGGAGCAACTCGGAAGAAGACCCAAAAAATACCAGATGTGTTTTTATGGTGGTAGTCAGAAATGCTTGCTTCTTATTTAAATGTTGAAGTATTAAGAAAATGGAAGTGATAACATTTTCAACAATGGAGGCTAGAACACAATAGACTTTCCAAAAGACAGTCATTAAATCCAAAGCTCTCTCTGTGAGCCCACAACTAAAGAACAGAAGATGAAAATGTGATCTGTTCTTGTACTTTGAAATCCTTATTTTCTTGAATCATGGCAGGAAAATGACAGCACTGACAGCCACACCCTACTGCATAGCTTTTCTTCTGCCAAATGGGATTGATTTTCTGCTGGTAGCATATCATTAAGAGGATGCAGTCCAGACAAAGCTTTAAAATATGCTGGCCATGCCATCCAGACAGTACCGACTCACAGTGACCCTGTATAGGGATTCCAAAAGCAGCTGGTGGGTTTGAACTGCTGACCTTGTAGTTAGCAGCCCAGGGCTTATCCTACAGTGACACACCAGGGCTCATGGAAGCTTAAATATGGCTATTTTTAGACAGAAAATGACTAATTTTGTTTTTACTCCAGTATACCTATTTCATAGATAACAAAACTGAGGTGCTATAATGAAGGGTTTCATACTTGCCTAAGGTCACATAGTTTAAAAGTGACGCTAGTCTAGTAATTTTTCTACTATCCTATAAAGTCAAAACTTAAACAAGTAGGAATTCTGGCCTGCTTCACACAAAGCCATGTATCTCGCATTTTGAAGGCTTTGTAAATCACTGGACTTAACCTTTCCCATAATATGATTTTAAAATAATATGAGTTTTCCATATAAAGGGGGGGGGGAAGTAACGGTAGAGAAGTTCTAAAAAAGTATTTGCAATAATCAATCAAGATACGATATTGAATTATTTTCCCAAATCAGCACATTTACAGATCTATATGAAAAGTTCTCCTACGACAGAATGTTATCCATGTCTTTTCAGCTGACAACAATCATTTTGCATGTATTGTGGTCTAGTGGGAAGAACTAGGAGTCAGAAACCTGGGTTTTAATTCTAACTCTGCCACATCCAAGCTAGTGACACTGAACAAGTTGCCCTGTTTATCTAGTTCACAGTTTCCTCACCTACAAAATGAAGATAATAATTTAAAAAATGAAGGTAATAGTCCCTACTTTACACATATAAAGATGGTTAGGAGGGGCTGGTATGGCACTGTGGATTAATGCCCTGGACTATAAAATCAGTTTGAACCATGAGGTCAGTGGTTCAAGCTCACCAGATGCTCCTCGGAAACCTCATATAGGGTGTCTCTATGGGTCGGAAACAACCAGACAGCACTTAATGATAACAAGTGATAAAAAGGTGAAAAGATGGAAATTATAAAATAGAATCATGTCTTTATTATTATTTTTCCATTAATAAGCTGGTCCTCTAAAGTTAAAGTCTTATTAATAAATAAATACTGAGACGGAAAACCCAGCTGAGAAATTCTGTTGTAGTTAATTTTTAAAACCTCTGTCTCTTTAAAATTTTATAGACAACAACAATGTGCTATGTTAAGCATAAAGTTTATGTTTGTATGGTCACAGGAAGAGTGAGTGACGCATTTTTTGTTTGTTTGTTTGAAATCTGAAACTTAAAAAAAATATATTTAACAGAAGGACTGCTTTTGAAACTCAAAATTTCTGGACAAGCTAGTAAATACCCTGCATGGGTTCCAGAAAAGAGTTTCACAATGAATTGAACTGAGAGAAACAGCTAGGCTACGTCCTGATCATGTTCAGGGACAACCTCAAAAAACCTGCTCGAACTCCAAAGTTTACAAGTAATCAAATATAAATAAAACTGAAATAATTAAGGTATTTCTAAGTGTGAAGACCACTTTTCTTTGTTGTTGTTTTACCAGACAAGTATATTGAAACCTTGAAAGCTGGAACTCGACGGGATGCTGTGGTTTCCCAGGTCTTACGAGTTTCCTGCCTCTGACAGGGCACAATGCACTCCAACCACTTTTCTGTCACTCATTTTAGTGGAAAACATTAGCACTTTCCTTCTTTGACAGATTATCTATCGCCTTACCTGGGGGTTCTGGCTTTCACAGGTTTTACTATAGAATTTAAGTAAAATAGTCATCTTGAAAAATAAATCGCTTACACGGAAAAGACGAAAGGGTACACAGTTGAGTTCACTTACCCTGCAGAAGAGATGCAATGAAGGCAGTAGCTACACTGCTAGAGCACAGCAGTACGGAATGGTCAAGGTAGGATTTCCCTTCAGGGATCCAGCCCAATATAATGGCTGCCACAGCTGCTAGAAAGCCAACTACTGTTGCCTGAACCTAAAAAATGTTTTTATAAAATCCATCTGAATTATTTATTTAAAAAAACACATCTTTTAATTACATAAATACCACATATAAGACTGCATCTAATAATTGACATATTTGTTGGTGTTCCCACTCACAGCGACCCTCCTGTATAGAGTTTCCAAGAAGTGACTGGTGGGTTTGAACCACCAATCTTGTGGTTAGTAGTCCAGTGCCTGGCCTTTAGCACATTTTAAAGGAGGTCTGGTAGCGTAGTGGTTATGAATCAAGCTGCTAACCTCAAGGTCAGCAGTTCAAAACTACCAGCCGTTCTGCGGGAGAAAGATGCGAGAAGCTTTCTGCTTCCGTAAAGATTTGCAGCCTCGGAAACCCTGTACAGGGTCGCTATGAGTCAGAACCGACTCCACGGCACATCATCACCACCACAGTATTTTACTTTCAATGTTCCTGAAGGCAGTGAGTTCTCAAACTGTTCTGCTGAGGAGCAATAGGTACAGAATGAGATTCAAGAATGGAAACTTTTAACAAGTACCCCAAGTGACTTTGAAATGGTCATCCACAGACATCTAATATAACACTGACTCAAGACTGAAAACTAAATTTGGTTCCACTGGCAGTGCTAGCAAGAGATCTGATCTTCTCATCAGATGAAATGAGTTCGGGCTCGAATCACTCCTGACATAGTCCTAACTCCTGCCCCACCTATGAGTCCTGGATCTACCACTTAACCTCGTGGCACAATGTTTAAATTAATTCACTCAACAAGTACTTACTTAGAATCTACTATGTAAAGCCCTACTAGCCGGGCCTTGGAAACCCTACAGAGGATCACTATGAGTTGGCCCCAATTCGACAGAACCGAACAACAACATGAGTCCTGGAAGGATAAAAACTAGTCTATTAAGCACAATATCAGTGGTTCAAACGCAACAGTTGCTTCTTGAAAACTATATACAGGGTCGCGATGAGTTAGAACCAACTCGACAGCACTTCACAACAACAACAATCACATGTACATATAGGGTGCCATGGGTCAGAATGACAACTGGTTTTCCTTTTTTTTTTAATGTACAACAAGGTGCTATGCTTGGTGTTAAGCAACGTGGTGGTGAAAACAGATGGTCAAAATAGACTTATTCTGGGTTCCCAGAGAGCTGTTGGTCAGTGAGTGAGAGATAAAAATTATCACACAAATAACCACTACGGTGATAAGTGTTAGAAGAAACTTCAGTTCTTACACTATAAAAGTGATGAAAATAGTTTGCAAGAGCCATTTAAGTACATGAGTGTAAAAGTGCTTCCACAGCGCTGCCACAAAGCAACACTGTCTGACAGTGAACTCTTGGAGTCAGATCAAGAGACTGAGAAGCCAAAGAAACTCAAAGGGGCTCATGGATTCCACTTAGTCTGCGCTGTGTTTGTGTTATGGACCCCTTTGAGAATCTGGTGAAAGTTTTATTGAATAGAGATCCTTTTCTCTCAGAAATGCAGAAGCAGTCACTATTAGGAGTCAGGTTTCTGGGCGCTCAGCCTCTGATGATCCCATCCATGTCCTGATGTAGTCCCACAGCTCAGCTCTTGTGGGTGTTAGCTACAGTTTCAGAGCTGAGATTCAAGCTGTAAACACCATCATGGCTGGTCCAGCTGTTACAGTAGTTTAGCATTTTCATATAGGACAAAACATAATAGTGTGTGCAAGTAGTAAGACTATTTAATATTGCAAATTCTAACACTGTGATTCCAAGGCTCTTCCTGGTCTGATATTGTAACACAAAGCTAGGGAGTCTGCTGCAGACGGCACGTTCTTCATCTATCTACCTACCTACTCACAAGGGTGAGTCATAATTATCTGCATTCTGGTTGTAGAAAATCAAATTTTAGAAAAGACAAATACATCATTTTTCTACATAATCTCCTTGTTTTCCAATACACTGTCCATCCGTCATGAAATTTTCATATTCCCGTATTAAAAAATGTTTTAGGCTGTGCTTCAAGTCACAAATGCACTGCTGTCTTCACCTATTAATGAGAGGTGAATCTTCATCCTCGAAGGGCTGCTTTCAGGGAACCAAACAGTTCGATGGAGCAAGATCAGGACTACAGGGAGAATGCTTTAACCCTCAAAACCAAGTTTTTGCAGACTGTCAACAGTGTGGGCAGAGAAGTGTGGACCTGCACTGTCATGCGAGATCACAATGCCCTTGGAGAGCAGTCCTCTGCGTTTAATCCGAAGTTTAGGATTCAGCTCTTCAGTTAGCAACTCTGTAATGAGGACTGTTGATGGTTGAGCCTTTTTTCCGGACACTGCTCCAATACTGGACCTGTAAGAATCCACTTTCCAGCTGACGGTTGACTTTTGAACTTGGTCAGTAACTGAGGCTATTTCCATTCCATACGCTGCCGTTTACTCTTGGGATCCATGTCTCGTCACCAGTAATCATGGTGGTTTTTTCAAAGAAACTTTAACCTTCCTTCGAGTATCGGTCCAAGTTTTGTTTGCAAATGTCCATGTTCATACCTGCACAGCAGTGACCTTGAATGGGAAGTGCTGACAAGACAGCTCAGCCAAAAGAAGTTTTAATATAACCGGAGTGTGGACAATTTTTGACGCACCCTCATATTTATCTATCTATCACACCTGCCAGGGGAAAATGGAAGCACACAGTGAGATGAGAACATTCTATTCTGTAATGTAAACCTGCAAAATAAATGGCTAACTATACCCTAGAGAAAAGTATGGGTTCACGTAGGAGCTGTGGTGGCTAAACCTAGTCCATACAAGATTCATAGTCCTAAACAGCTGTTGCTTCAGGGCACATCCCTCCTAATAGGGTAATAGTCCCTCCAATGGGATTGGGGAACTTTGCTTGCTTGACAACTTAGGCCCCATTTGAGGCATCCAACCTGCACAACTATGAAGAGATCTGTTGTAGGAAATCTGCCTGGAGCCACATTGAATAGCCAGAGGAAGGAGCACAGACCCTAGCAAGCAACAACCTGAGCCCCTTTGTCCTTCCCAGGCTCTCCAACATGTACCTCCCATAACTGCTCTACAGGCAGAAGAGCCTATGCCAGCCCACTTCATTCCCTCTCCCCATGCTCACTGACTCCTTTCACAAGCTTTAGTAGAGGAAACCTCACACACATGTCTTTTCTTTTCTCTTCTGCCTTTGGTGATTTGGCTTCACCATGTGTCTCCTGACTGGCCTGTGTGGGGCTCCCTGTTTCTCATGCAGCCTTGGTGAGTGAAGCAGACAGAGGCACAGGTTTCTAGAACCAGTGAATCTCCAGCCATCTCACTCTGACAAAGAGCTGCTGGGACAGAGGAGGACTAGGGACGAGTGGAGATGAAGAGTAATGCTGAGATGAACATTACTAGAATGATTTGATGAATAAGTTGTACCACAATTCATATTACTTGGCAAGAGTTTAGGGTGTTTAAGGAATAAAATGAAGTATGTTTTCAAAGTTGCATTTATTTATTTTTCAGTACCCTATAAAAATAAACCAAACATGTTGACATCTAGTTGATTCCAGCTCACGGCGATTGAATGGGGGTTAAATATTTTTAGTATTACTCCCACATTATTGATGCTGTTATTAAATGCCATCGAGCCAATTCAGACTCATAGTGACTCCGCATAGGGTTTCCAAGGAACGGATAGTGGGTTTGAGCTGTAGACCTTGGGGTTAGCAGTCCGGTGCTTATCCTACAGCACATCAGGACTCCCACATAGACTCCTGTAATTGCCAGCTGAGAAGGATCATCTACTCCAAGGCCATTGAGTCACTTCTGACTCACAGTGGCCCTATAGTCTGAAACTGCTCCAGAGAGTTTCCAAGACTGCAAATCTTTATGAAAACAGACTGCCTTGTCTATCTGACATGGAACAGCTGGGAGTTTCAAACTGCCAACTCTTCCAATGCTTAACCCACTGAGCCGCCAGTCTCCTTGAAAAGGGCCATGGTGGTAGAGATGGTTGCGGTGTGCCATCAAGTCAGTTCTGACTCAGAGTGATCCTGCATGGCTTTCTGAAGTTATAAATCTTTACGTGAGCAGAAAGCCTCATCTTTCTTCTGTGGAGTGACTGATTCACACTGCTGACTCTGGTTAGCAGCTCAGCTCACACCCCACTACACTAACAGAATTCCTTTTGAAAGGGACAATATATGTCTCTAATGGAATGCTGTCATTTACAAGAAGAAAAAAGTGAAGCCCAAAAAGGTTAAATAAATTAACAGAGTTATCAATAGTGCCGTAGAGTCAGGTCTGATTCACAGCACCCCTTTATAGGCCTAGGTTCCCAGCAGTGGCTGGTAAGTTTGAACCACTGACCTTGTGGTTCAAAGCAACCTTGTGGTCCAGTGTTTATCCTACAGTGCCACATCAGGACAAAGGTTTTACAGCTGGTTAATGTTAGTACTGTGGGTAGATCTACATTGTTGTGAAGTGCCATCGAGTCAATTCTGACCCATAGTGAACCTGTATAGGGTTTCCAAGTGAGCTTGAACCACCAAATTTGCAAATCAAACAACTTTGCAGTCTGATGCATTAGCTCACAGCGCCTCATCAGGACTCCCGAGATCTACATATAATTTTCTTATTTCCAATCCTGAAATCTCAGAAGCAATGTACAGAAATAAAAACAAGCTACATTTCAAACTCACCAGCCATTCCTCAGAAACTCTATACAGGGTTGCTATGAGTTGGAATCAACTTGACAGCATTTAACAACAACTAGCTCAGACTAGAGTTACGAGGAACACCTGAAGTTTTGTCATGTTTTGGGATGGGGGAGAGAGTACAAGAAGAAGAGGAAGAGGTATTCACATGAGACTAGAAAGAATTATCGATAATCCATATGTAATTCAGAGTTTAGTGTTATGTGTAATGAAAAATCATGTGTTTGCTAATATCAATACTGATAGCATGCACAAATGAAGAAATACTTAGTTTAAACAAACATCTGACGATAATATATTCAAAATGTTGGTGGTGGTGTTAAGTGTCACTGAGTCGGTTCCGACTAATAGCGACCTTGTATAGGGTTTCTGAGGAGCGGCTGGTGGGTTTGAACTGCCAACCTTGTGGTTAGCATTTCAGTTAAATAAACAGACGGTTTGCTTTAAGAAAATCAGAGTAGAAAAACAGCACCTAAGCAACGAAGTGCCAAATGTTTATTTGTATTCAAATTCTGGCTCTGTTATATACTTATGATAGAAATGTTACATATTTTTCTATATTTTGTATATTATATTCGTTCATATTTGGAAGCCCCTGATCTGTATCTACAGAATAAAATACTTTCACAAGCCATGGGTGTCCACTTAATCCACCACTTTTTCACAAGATACTGAATCATGTTTTTGGTGCCTTAAAATAAATGGTAGACTTCATAGTAATAAAATTTACTCCATTCGTCTGGGTAACAAAAGAAATGAAGGCACAAACTCTGTAAACAAACTTATCTATCACTCACCTGCTTTAAGGCCAAGTTGCCAATGATTAGGTTCCACTTTTCAATGGGTGAGTCCATCTTCCCAACATTTACCTGTTAATGAGCATGTTTTCATATATCATTGTATACTCTGTATGTTGTCTTGCTTTGCTTAAAATATCACTTCAAGTCTTAAAGCCAAAGATAATTTGTCAGCAAATCTAATGTGTTTACATTATACTTTTTTTTTTTTAATCCTGTATTCACTACCAGTTAATACATTTACTACTCAGTCTCTCTTCGTGTTTAGGAAAAAAACTTTTTTTAACTTAATTAACTAGTGGAAAAGAATTAATGAACTAATGGTAATATTCACCTGCCCAGTGATGTTATTTTACAACTAACAACATCTAATATGCCACATTTTGTGTACTATGGAACAACATAATTTTAAGCTGCTAATATTTAATTAATCCTACATCATGAAACTAATGTAATTTGAAGAACTATTAAGAACAAGAAAAAAAAAAACAACAGAAAAACAAGTCACTCACATATATGTACTTAATTCCTATTTGAGTCATGATAAAAAGTGACTATGTGAAGACTGAATTATCTCAAGGCACCCTTGTTAGCAATAAAAAATTTCATTCAGTTCACATATGAATTTTGATCATGCTCCTCACTATTAAAATTTAGACATCTGTGGAATGTGGACGAATACTCTCCAATTGCTCTGTAAGCTAACACATACTTCTCAACCACTTAGGATTCAAAACAAGTATGTCAAGATCTGCCAAGTTTTTCTAACGCCGTCATTTTGGAATGCAATGAACAAGCTTTATTAAAAATACTATTCTGAACGGGCTTTTAATTATTCATCATATACTTGGTCATGAAGCTTTTCAAATGTGAAAAACCACCACCACCACCACCAGGTGAATGGGTAGAGTGGGAACTATATAAGGGTTAGCTCAGTGATTAAGCATTTACCTGCTAACTAGAAGGTAGGTGGTTTGACTTCTAGCAGAAAGGCCTCGTGCTTTGTTCCCATAAAGACTGGACTCTAGCAAACCCTATAGGGCAGTTCTACCCTGTCGCATAGTGTCACTATAAATCAGAATCCACTCACAGGCACATATCAGCACAATAACATTTATGGGTTATTAACCATGGCTGCAGACTGGCAGGGTAAGTGCTATCATCAACATTTCTTCGATCAGTCAATTTTGCAAACATTCTATTCTGTAACCTCACTCTGGACTTTAGTCTCAAATACCTGGCAAATGTAAATATTGGGATTTCACAGTGTTCCAGAATAACTTATGCTGTCTTTGTATACTTCTTTTCTAAGCTTGGGAGTCTAATTTACTGAGGAAATTCAGTGTTTGTAGCTCTACTAATTTGCCTCAAATGGGCAATAAGATATAAGCAGCATTTAAAAAGTGGATTTTTAGTTTAGAGTTCAAGAAATAGGTATGAGAGAAATTACTGTTGTTTTTCAATAACTTCTGGAAAGATGTCTATAGCTATGAGAAGTAATCTAAAATGATTCTAGGAAAAAAGTGTACAAGACGTCAAAACTCTGGGATTTCTTAGTGATTAATGGAGACATACATACATTTTGTCGTTGTGTGCCATCAAGTTGAATTGCAACTCATAGAGTCCCCATGTGACAGGTGAATTGCCCCATAGGGTTTCCTAGGCTATAATCTTTATGGGAGCACAGTGTCTTCATAGGAGAAGTACTGGACTGGGAATCACAAAGTCGGCAGTTTGAGCCCACCAACCACTCCTCAGGAGAAAGATGAGCAGTTAATGGGCGCAAACCACTAACCTTGAGTAGTTCACAGTCCAGTGCTTATTCTATGGAGCCACCACACTCCCTTTTTCTCGTACGTTGTTGTTGTTGTTAAGTGCCATCGAGTTGATTCCAACCCATAGCGACCCTTATAGGGTTTCCAAGGAGCAGCTAGTGAACTTGAACCACTGACCTTGCAATTCCAACGACTTTGCAGTCTGACGCATTAGCCCACAGCGCCACACCAGGAAAATCCAAACACTTAATCACTGGGCCACTGGAGTGCCTTCTCAAAACAGATTGCTGTTGATGTGTGACAATGAGTTGATTCCGACTTATACTGACCCTGTGTAAAGTTTCTGAGAGTGGCTGGTGGGTTTGACCTAGTGACCTTTTGGTTACCATGCCAATGCTCATCCTACAGTGCCATACCAGGATGCTCTCATAAATGGATCTCAAAATTTAATTTCTTATTTGGATTGAAACAAATGCTGGACAATGCTCAAGAATGTTGCTATTAAAAATATTTTCTTTGAGGTAAGCTAGTCCGAATTTTCATTTTCCTGGGAAAGATATCAAGTTGCTTAAATGTTTGTTTTATAAAAAACAAAGGTTATTATCCAACAAAATGAAACTTAAGCTATATTTTAATTTCCATTCTAATAACTTTCTTTTCCCTTCTATTCAAATGCTGCTGTATTTGCTTCATGACTTACTCTTTATTCATCTTTCTGACTGAGTTCTAGCTAGGTAATCCACAGATAACATAATGACAACATAACGCAATTGCAGACCACCGGGAAAGGGTGACAACTGGAAAAACTCCTCAGTAAAGTATACAGTACGCTCTAGTGGCTTGCATATTGCTATGATACTGAATGCTATGCTATTCGTATTTCATATACCAGAAGGGTCCTCCATGGTGGGCAAGTTTCAGTGAAACTTCCAGACTCTCGTGAAACTTCCAGATTCTCAAAGACTAGGAAAGAAGACCTCATGATCTACTTTCTAATAATTAGCCAATGAAAACTTTATGGATCAAAACAAAACATCATGTGATTCAAATGCCTTTGGCACATCGGACATCATGTTTGGTGCAGCAGGGAGTCAACACAGGCTTGAAAGCCCTTCAGGGAGAAGGCCTGGTACAACAGCCACAATGATGAATACTGCACTGACACTGTGCGGATGGTGCCGGACCAGGCACTGTTTTCCTTCTGTTAGGAGTAAAGTCATCGTGAGTTGAAATCGACTCGATGGCATCTAACAACATGACTATAAATCATGATATGCCTGGTGTGGCACTGTAGGATAGCACTGGTCTGCTAACCAAAAGGTCAGCAACGCAAATCTACAAGATGCTCCTTGGAAACCCTATGCAGGGTTGCTATGAGTGATAACTGATTTGACAGAATTTAACAACCACCACCACCATACATAAGTTCTAAGTACAGAAGGATGTACTAATGACACTTAGCAACAACGTCAAAAACACCAATATTAATAGCAGCTATATCTGGTTGGAGAATTGTAGTTTTTCTTTCTTTACCATTTCTTTATGATTTTTTAGTTTTTATTAATAGCCGATGTTACTTTCACATCACAAAAGTTGAAATATCAATCAACCATAAAATCTCAGTATCTCACTTGTCTCCAGTATTAACCACTGACAATAATGGCCAGAATGCTCTGGCATAAAAGAACACCAAGAATGCTAGTACTTTTTGGAATAAAAAGCATATAATTCTCAAATTAGAAAATACAATCTGATTTTCAAGTTGTATCAGACATAACTATTTACCATAGCCCTAGGAAACCGATTAATGGACTGAGAAAAAAAAAATTCTGGTAGAGGTTGTTCTCTTTCGTAGAACATTTATAGCATAAATAGTATGTATTCTTTCAGATGGGTAAAAACTTACTGCAGTTGACAATCTGGATGCCAAAGTCATTTCCAAGTTCCCCTTGAGACCAAGAAGTGCAGGAACTAAAATGAAGACTTCTGTTACTTTTTTGAATACCTCCCAGTGCTGTAAGAAAAAAGAAAAAAATTCTGATATAGATGAAAAATACTTTAAAACAAAGATACACCTTAAGCCTTTTTTCTAACTTTGAGCATACATTTTGAATGACTGCAGGCAATTTAATCAGTGAACATTTAAGACTTTGAAGTCTTGGATTACTTTAGAAGCTACAGCTACGGTTGGGAATGATCGCTAATGCATTAGTCATTACACTCCATTCTACATCTAGCTTACTACACAACCCAGAGTTACTTAAAATTTTACATTATCCCTTTATGACGGAAAGAAACAATATGTCCCTGGAACCGCATAACCTGGATTTGAATCCTGGTTCAAACACTTCCTGTAACAACCCAAGAAAATAAAAGAATTATCTAATTTAAAAAATACGGCAATAAATAATAAAGAAATTAAGTAATGTCCCCAAAGGTCAAAAGATGGGGCCTGGAGTTCACGTTAGACATTCTTAGCAGTCCCAGGTACTGGTCTCTATCCTAAGGACAGAATCATGAAAAAGAACACTAAATTAGAAATGAAAAGACCTGATTGTGGGATCCCAGTGAGTCCCATACCTCTCTGATCTCCATTTTCTTCTCCATGCAATGAAGGTAGCACCTGCCATGTCAAGTCCTCAGGAAATACCGTGATAATGAAAATGCTGTTGCTGTTGTTAGGGCTGTCAAGTTAGTTCGAACTCAGAGCAACTCTACGCACAGCAGAATGAAAAATTCCCTGGTCCTGTGCCAATCTTACAACTGTTGTGCTCCAGCTCACTGCTGCTACCATTGTGCCAGTCCATCTCGTTGGAGTCTTCCTCTTTTTTGCTAACCCTCCACTTTACCAAGCATGATGTCCTTCTCCAGGAACTGGTCCTTTCTGATAATATACCCAAAGTATGAGAGACAAAGTTTTGCCATCCTGCCTTCTAAGGAACATTCTGGCTGTACTTCCAACACAGATTTGTTTGTTCTTCTGGCAGTCCATGGTACCTTTAATATTCTCCTCCAACATCATAACTCAAATGCATTGCATCTTCTGTGGTCTTCCTAATACACAGTCCAGCTTTCACACGCATATGAGGTTACTAAAAATACCATGGTTTGGGTCAGGTGCAATTTTGTCCTCAAACTGACATCTTTGCTCTTCAACACTTTAAAGAGGTCTTGTGCAGTATATCTGCCGAATGCAATAATACATCATTTGATTTCTTGACTGCTGCTTCCATGAGTGTTGATAGTGGCTCCAAGCAAAACAAAGTCTTTTGACAACTTTAATCCTTTCTTAATTTATTATGATGGTCCAGTGGTGACGATTTTTATTTTCTTTACATTGAAGTGCAAAAATTAATGAAAGCTGTAGTCTTTGATCTTCATCAAAAATATTTTTTAAAGTAATCTTCACTTCCAGCAAGGAAGCTTATATCATCTTGCACATCGAAGAGTATTAATGAATCTTCCTCCAATCCTAATGTCACGTTCTTCATATGTTCCAACTTCTCGGATTATTTGATCAGCAAAGAGATTGAATAAGTATGGTTAAAGAATACAACCCTAGGACATACCTTTCCTGATTTTAAACCATTCAGTGTTCCCTTGTCCTGCTCGAATGACTGTCTCTTGGTCTATGGACAGGTCCCTCATGAGCACAACTAAGTGCTCCAGAAGACCCATTCTCCACAATGCTGTCCATAGTTCATCATGATCAACACAGTCGAAAGTCTTTGTGTAGCCAATAAAACCCAGGTAAACATTTTTCTGGTATTCTTGTCTCTCATACTTCAGACATGTTATCAGGAGGGGCCAGTTCCAGAAAAGGACATCATGCTTGACAAAGTGGAGGATCAGTGAAATAGAGGCAGACCGCCCCCCCCCACACACACACACAACAAGATGGACTGGCACAATGGCAGCAGCAATGAGGTCAAGCATAACAACTACTGTGAGGATGGCACAGGACCAGGCAGTATTTGGTTCTGTACCTAACAAAATATGATGGAAACAACAACAGATGGGATCAAGTTCATAACAGCAATTCCAAAGGTTAACTGCAAACTTAGAAGACAGTGAGTTTATGTGAAGCGTGAGCAACAACTCAGAAAAGGAGGTTGAGAGAATAGTTGGACAACTTGAAGAATGTAATCATGTCACTGAAATATATATGTAGAAACTTGAATTGGTGCACCTTTTCCTATGTACATTCCCAACAACAAATAAACACTTACTTAATAATAAGCATCAACAATTTCTAACATTCACTGAATGATTGCTATGTGTTGTCATTAAGGTTTATTCACATAATTTTCACAACAAACCTTTGCCATAAGCATTATTTTTACAACATCAAAGATAATTCAGGAATATATTTTACCTAAGATATCATTTTAAGATTCCTACCTAAATGGTTTGTTTTTAGAAACACCAGAACAATATCAAAGTATCTATCACTCACGTGGCATCATAATTCCACCTGTTGGGAAGCATTCCTCAAGTTCAATTCTAATCAAAAACTCTTATAAGGATTGCTATGAAACTCCCTAGCACCTCAGCATTGGTGTGATATTAAAAATTCAACACCAAAATCAAAACAACCCAAACCCACTGCTGCCAAGCCAATTCTGACTCATAGCAATGCTAGTGGGTGCCGTGGGTTTACGCTGCTAACTGCAAGGTTACAGGTTCAAAGTCACCAGCAGGTACATGGGAGAAAAGATGAGGCTGTCTGTTCCCTCAAAGATTTCGTCTCAGATACCCTACGGAGCAGTTCTACTTGGTAACTATGAGTTGTTGTTGTTGTTGTTAAGTCAGTTCTGACTTATAGTGACCCTATATAGAGTTTCCAAGGAGCAGCTAGTTCAAAATGTGGCTCAAAAATGACCTTGCAGTAAACAAGGCAATGAAACGATATACGATAGGATGAATATAAAACTAATGTTCTCCCATGTAAACTATCACATAATTTACAATAAAACATTAAAAAAAAAATGACCTTGCAGTCCAGTGCTTATCCCACAGTGCCATACCAGAACTCCAAAGTGGCAACAATGTTCTTGTTGTTGTTATGTGCCATCAAATGTACTGACTCATAGAGACATAACAGAATGAAACACTGCCTGGTCCTGGGCCAACCTCACAATTGTTGCCACACTTGAGCCTACTGATGCTGCCATATTGCCAATCCATCTCGCTGGGGGGCTTCTTTTTATCTGACCCTCCACCTTACCAAACATGATATCATTCTCCAACAACTGGTCCCTCCTGACAATATGTCCAAAGTATGAAAAACAAAATTTGGTCATCCTGGCCACCAAGTAGCACTCAGGCTGTACTTCTTCCAACATAGATCTGTTGGTTCTTTTGCCAACCCATGGCATTTTCAATAGTCTCCTCCAACACCATAACTCAAATGCATCAATTCTTCTACGGTCTTCTTCATTCACTGTCCAGCTTTCACACACAAATGAGGTTATTGAAAATACCATGGCTTGGGTCAGGTGCACCTTAGTCCTCAAGCTGACATCTTTGCTCTTCAACACTTCAAAAAGGTCTTGGGCAACAGATTTGCCTATTTGCAATGTATTTGCAATACATTGTTTGATTTCTTGACTGCTGCTTCCATGAGTGTTGATGGTTGATCCAAGATGAATGAAGTTCTTGACAACTTCAATCTTTTCTCCCTTGAAAAGAATGTAATTTATTAGTCCAGTGGTGAGGATTTTTGTTTTCTTTACATTGAGATGTAATCCATACCTAAGGCTGTGCTCTTTGATCTTCATCAGTAAATATTTTAAGTCCTCTTCACTTTCAGCAATCAAGGTTGTTTCATCTGCATATCGCAGGTTGTTAATGAGTCTTCCTCCAATCCTGAAGCCATGTTTTTCGTCATATAACCCAGCTTTTCGGATTCTTTGCTCAGCATACAGGTTGAATAAGTATGGTGAAATAATACAACCCTGGCACACGCCTTTCTTAGTTTTAAACTTTTCAGTGTTCCCATGTTCTGTTCAAACAACTGCCTCTTGGTCCAGGTACAGATTCCTCATGAGCACAATTAAGTGTTCCAGAATACTCACACTTCGCAATGTTGTCCATAGCTTGTCATCATCCACATAATCGAAAGCCTCTGCATAGTCAATAAAGCACAGGTAAACATCTTTCTCTACTTTCAGCCAAGATCTATCTGACATCAGCAATTATACTTCTCATTACTTGTCCTTTTCTGAATCTGGCTTGAACCTCTGGAAGTTCTCTGTCAATGTATGTTTGCAACATTTCTGTATGGTGGTGGTGGTGGTGGTGTGCCGTAAAGCTGGTTCTGACTCATAGCGACCCTATGCAGGGTTTCCGAGACTGTAAATCTTTCCGGGAACAGAAAGCCTCAACTTTCTCCTGCGGAACAGCTGGTAGTTTTGAAATGCTTATCTTGAGGCTCACAACCCGATTCGTAACCACTATGCTACCAGAGCTCCTTAACCATTTCTGCATAGCAGCTATTCATTACTGATGACCCACTTTATGCAAAACAAAGGTTACTTTATCTATACCTGCAGAGGTCCCCAAACATAAACCTTTATGTCCTGAGGACCTAGTAGCCATTTGAAAAAATAAAAATAAATTTGTTTAAGTGTTTATGTCATTCTTATGTAAGCACTATTACTTACTAATGGAGTATGTACTTGGTGAGCCTTGCACAAGCTCTCAAACCTTGACATTACCAACAGCCACCTTCATTTCCCGTTCCACACTGATTTCTGTGTGACACTTGCTTTTCATCACAGCACCAATGAAAACCAAGCTTTGCAAAAAGTGTGTGATCAAACAGAATGGATATAATGTTGAAATGTTAAACCACCCTGACATAGCAGTCTGTGTAGTGTTCAAGAAATAACACTGTGTTTTCTTCCAAAACTAAAAATATCCTGAGGCACAGATAGTTCATTGTGGCATCCTAAGATTCTTAACACAGGTTTTTAAAACTGCAGGAATACAAAGAAATGGAATAGCACTGCC